TTCTGGTCCCGGGCAGGGTCGGGGTAGTAGGGCCCAAACCGGCTCGCACACGTCTTGCTCTCCGGTCGCGGGAATACAATGGAGTCCACGTCGTCCAGACACAGCCCAAACAGTTCCAGCAACACACCCGTGCGAGGTTCCGAGTCCTTGAACGTTGCCACGGTAACCGCGCCATCCTCCTCCGTCGAGATGGCCGGCACGCCGCCCTGTTGGACGAACCGGATCACGGTCACCTGGGGCTTGCATACCGCGGTGCTAGTCTGCCTCACATGGCGATCCAGCTCCAGCTCCTCGTTTTGCCCCTGCTGCTGCCCGGCTGCTGGGGACAGCGGTGTTTGTTCGCCTAAGCCATCACGAGTGAGTACTCCTGGCTCGGGTAATGCCATAGGAATGGCCGAACAAACTGCCAACAGCAGAATGGCGATTGCACACAGGACAGAAAGCATTTCGCTTTTCCCCCGCCACCAGCACAAATCCATTCCAGAGTGCTAAGCAAAACGAACAGGACCTGTCGCAGGGGTCCAACTAGAACTTAGAAGTCAACAGCACACACGTTCAGCACCGCAGCGAGCTAGGGTGAAAAAATAAATTGGTGGAGATCGAGCTCCACTGCTCTGTCACAGGGGCGTAGGAGGGGTTTTGGAAGTGGTACGACCGAAGGTCGGCGCGGCCAAAGGCCGTCCTACGTGTAGGCTACCGTAGTCTACACGTAGGTCTACACGAAGATCTACATTGTACCATGTCGTCATGGTCCAGGCACTGCCACTACTTGGCACTAGCAATAGCATGCCTGTAGTACTGCCAGTACTGCACTAGGCAGTCTGGTTACACTTACAGTACTTCGCTTTATTTTACTTCACCAGAACTAAGCACAGGCAAAATCTGACTTCTCATGCTCACTGGGCGTATTGCCGCAGTCTGTCTGCATGCTGTCAGTTCTGTGACGAGCTGTCTTTACTTCGCTGCCTCGGTCTCGCCTGTCAGTCTCCTGGACTCGGTCTTGGTGACTCGGGTCCAGTCCTGGCAGCAACAGCGTACCGCCCTACCACTATGGAATTGCCTTCCACCCAAGATTACCGCTATAGATTTTGTTTCAGAATTTCGGACTCGCGTTCATTATAAACAGCATATATTTGCCTGCACAATTCGCTTCACTAGTATATAAATCAAGGATCATTTTCAAATTTAGGAGATCCCCCCGATAGGCTATGCCTTTGGGAAATCCTTTAAATAAAAAATACAATACAAATATAATAGCAATAAAGAGAACAAATTCTGCAGTCATCGCCACACTACAACGAAGTCATGAAAGTTTACCAGAATTAAATTTCTTGTCACATTCATCAGTGGAAAGTCGTGACTGAAGAGTAACCATGCTGAACAATGATTAAATATACATTCAATGATGTGTTACGAGAACAAAATACAGTGCCAAAATAGAATGAGGGAAGGTTTGTTCTCGTACCACATCATTGAATGTATATTTAATCATTGTTCTGCATGGTTACTCTTCAGTCACGACTTTCCACTGATGAATGTGACAAGAAAATTAATTCTGGTTAACTTTCATGACTTCGTTGTAGTGTGGCGATGACTGCAGAATTTGTTCTCTTTATTGCTATTATAAAATTGTTGTCTCCACGTCGATTATTTACAATACAAATACCGGTACAATACCATGCCTACTCTACTGACTGTGCTTCCCAAGTGGTTGTCTACATCGCAGTAGTGCATACAATACGTCATGTACATAATGGTGTGGAGCGTCCCCCAGACGATACGGCTGTCTGCTTTGGGAAAGGATAGCTGATCTGAGCTGGAATACTTGACGCGGTGTTTGAATGAAGCGCATTTTGTCTCCTGTGGCTGTGCTGGAGCGCTCCACGGCACCAACAACTGCCACTAACTAGTTACTTGACGTGGCATGCGTCTAGGCCATGACATGGTTACATGCAAAATTAATGATAATAACCGCTTTAGTGTGTTTACACCTCTAGCTCTGCGATCTGCAGTGTGCATTGTGAAAAAAAAATTCACGGTTCGCGTGAGACTCGGCCAAAGGCCCAGTTTTCCGCATCCGCAGGAACGCCACCACCCTCTTGGATCAAGGCGCAGATGCAGCTCCTAAGCGGTGGGAGGTGAGTAGATCAGACCCACCACAAAGTGGTCAAAGACCGAAATCCCATTCACTGCATCCATGTTTCCCTCGTGCCAGGCCACGAGTTCCCAATTAACTGTGGGTTGCAGCACGGCTGGAAAAAAATCCTTCCGCTTCCAAGCAGGACTTGAACCTGGTACCCTCTGTTTCTCAATCATGGTCTTAGACCATCCCACTATGCCTGCATGCATTGTGAACATACATTAAAGGGGAAGTGCAGCGATTTTTCGAGTAGGGTCCAGAAGAAAGACAATTTGATATCGGTTCGAGTGGCATATCTCTCGCTTTCATACGATAAGCCAAACTTGCCAAATCGCCAATTGTATGCTCACGTTGCTATAGCGACCAGAGCAGTGATGACGTATGAAAGGCTTAGCTCCTCCACAGAGAAGGTCGATCACTGCATAAATTGGTCATTTTTCAATTGTCTTATTGTATTCACGATGTGAAAGAAGTGCTGTGTTCAATGCTGTTAGTGCCGTGAACTATCGCCCTTCTCATGCATTTCCCTAGGCTGACTGTGCCTAGGAAATGGTTTCCTCCAGGACAAGATGCTTGGAATTCGCCATCTCTCCTGAGACATTTTCAGCAAACTTTCAAACCTACGACATTATTTCATTCGTCAATCTCCACCACCCGTCGTCTCACCTGGCTTCAGAAGATGTTACGAGAGATAGGAGAGTCGCCAGGAAGCATCTCATTCATCTTCAGGAAGTGGAAAGAGCAAACGGCATGGTCCTTGGTTGGGGGAAATGCTGAACGTCTTATTTGTCCCAACCAAGATTTCAGCATTTTGTTCGTCACTATTTTCGCTTGTCTGCTGGTGTCTCCGGACTCCAGCTTTCTCCTGTCGGTGTCACGTCCCAGTGCACAACCGAGAGGACTACTAACAAACAGTTCACTGCACTAACAGCATTGAACACAGCCCTTCTTTCACTTCGTGAATACAATAAACCAATTGAAAATGACCAAATTCTGCGGTGATCGACCTTCTCTGTGGTGGAGCTAAGCCTTTCGTACGTCATCACTGCGCTGGTTGCTATGGCAACGTGAGTATACAATTGGCGATTTGGCAAGTTTGGCTTATCGTATGAAAGCGAGAGATATGCCATTCGAACCGATATCAAATTGTCTTTCTTCTGGACCATACTCGAAAAATCGATGCACTTCCCCTTTAAATTTTTTCGAGGAAGAAAAAGGACCAGTGAAGTACAAGTACGAATTAAGCGGGATTCACAGAAGCTTTTCGCGATGCGACAGACGCGAAACCGGGAAAACCTCAAATCGCAGCCATGTCGCAGATTGAGTATATATACTCAATCTGCGGACAGCATGCTGTTTCGTTCTTTTTGAACTCATCAGCGCAGCACAGAGAAAATGAGGCCGAACCTGATAGCAATGGAAATAAAAATTTCCAATCAGGCCCGAACGTACCTTGCCAGAGTGCTCAAACTGACAAGTCAGTGAGCTCTGCATAACGCAAACAGCAAAGGCACTACCCCACGCAAGAGTGCTCAACTGCTACAAGAGCAGGAGCGAAATACTCAATCTGCGGACAGCATGCTGTTTCGTTCTTTTTGAACTCATCAGCGCAGCACAGAGAAAATGAGGCCGAACCTGATAGCAATGGAAATAAAAATTTCCAATCAGGCCCGAACGTACCTTGCCAGAGTGCTCAAACTGACAAGTCAGTGAGCTCTGCATAACGCAAACAGCAAAGGCACTACCCCACGCAAGAGTGCTCAACTGCTACAAGAGCAGGAGCGAAATACTCAATCTGCGGACAGCATGCTGTTTCGTTCTTTTTCAACTCATCAGCGCAGCACAGAGAAAATGAGGCCGAACCTGATAGCAATGGAAATAAAAATTTCCAATCAGGCCCGAACGTACCTTGCCAGAGTGCTCAAACTGACAAGTCAGTGAGCTCTGCATAACGCAAACAGCAAAGGCACTACCCCACGCAAGAGTGCTCAACTGCTACAAGAGCAGGAGCGAAATACTCAATCTGCGGACAGCATGCTGTTTCGTTCTTTTTGAACTCATCAGCGCAGCACAGATATATATATTATATATTTAAATAGAGAGGTAGGCGAACAAAATTTATATACACACAACAACAAGGTTGTCAGTTTCATAATACCAAAAGCTTTTCACCCATTTTCATCAGTGGTTACATGGGAATGAGCAAGAACGAAAACGAAGCCAGAATTTATGCTGGGGGTAGAGAATCAGCAAGAATATTCTTACGCGCCTCAAGTTCACACTACACTACCATAAGAATGTATGGAGCAGTGGAAAAATGCGGGAAACAACACATGAGGGGAATGCAGTACCAGAACAAACACGTGATAAAGTTGTCAGTCCAGTTGCAGCTTGAACAGCCGTAGCACCTTGATGTGCTTCAGTGTAGTGTGAACTTGAGGCGCGTAAGAATATTCTTGCTGATTCTCTACCCCCAGCATAAATTCTGGCTTCGTTTTCGTTCTTGCTCATTCCCATGTAACCACTGATGAAAATGGGTGAAAAGCTTTTGGTATTATGAAACTGACAACCTTGTTGTTGTGTGTATATATATATATATATATACTCAATCTGCATATATATATATATATATATAAATAGAGAGGTAGGCGAACAAAATTTATATACACACAACAACAAGGTTGTCAGTTTCATAATACTAAAAGCTTTTCACCCATTTTCATCAGTAGTTACATGGGAATGAGCAAGAACGAAAACGAAGCCAGAATTTATACTGGGGGTAGAGAATCAGCAAGAATATTCTTACGCGCCTCAAGTTCACACTACACTACCATAAGAATGTATGGAGCAGTGGAAAAATGCGGGAAACAACACATGAGGGGAATGCAGTACCAGAACAAACACGTGATAAAGTTGTCAGTCCGGTTGCAGCTTGAACAGCCGCAGCACCTTGATGTGCTTCTTTTGTCGACACAGCTCTGGCCTCAAACTGCGAATGTACAGCGCCTCCAGTGTGAATCTGTGCGCGCTGTTCCGGGCTGGTGTGATGACACTGAAGCTGCCGTTGCGTTCTTGTGGGATGCATTCAGGTTGCGCCTGCAAATGCTTTGTGATGGCGCTATCACTTGTTGCCACACGTTTGTCAGGCGGCTTCTTGTACAGCTTGTCTGGGATATGCTGCTTGATCCTTTCCGAGAATCGCTGACATGTCTCACCAACGTACGTTCGCTCACAGCGACACGCATACTTATAAATAAAATTACTATTTTCAAGAGTTGGTGAAACATCCTTCGCGATAGACCTGAATGCGGGCCTGGTTGTATAAATTACAATGGGGGATACTGTAGGATAGCAGTTCAAAATTGCAGCTTTAATCTTTTTGCGGAAGGCAATGCAATTATGCCCTTTCCACGGCAATTTTGTGATAATACGCGTTGCAGGTTCAAGT